GGCCTTCCTAGAGCCGCCGCCGCTGACAGGGCCGCACCGGCCCCGTGGTGTTGCGGTTTGGCCGCTTCCGAACGTGGGGGAGAGTCGTACGGAGATTGTTCCGATTAGGCACAAGAGGACAAAAACCGGAGAGACCTGCAGCTGGAGCGGGAGGAGAGGCTGGCGGCTGAGCTGGCGAGGCTGAACCGCGAGAAACTTAAAGACGCAAAGTTGAGGCAGCAAGTAAGAGAGAACAGGTAACGCCTCAGGAACCTCACTGCTTCCTTCGGCTGTTCCTGAATCCCTCCCAGCGCTGGGAAGTCCGTTCAGAGCAGTTCCCAGCCGCTGTGCACCTCCGGCTCGGTTTTATTTTCCCTGGATCGCGCTGTGGGCAGGACCTTGGATGCGGTCACATTGCCCCATGGCTGCTTCAGGCAACTGAGAGGAAGTTTTAGTGTGCCAAAACCAGATACGTAATTTACTCCTTAGAATCGGCTTTAACTTTTTGAATTTGTGCAGCGGAGGAGATCGGAAAAAATCATAAAGGCAGATTTGGAGAAACGCCCGGGAGCGGGGTGCGGTCAGAGGGGGTGTCCGGGTGTCAGCGAGCAGCGTCAGAAAGTGTCGGGGGAGAAGGGAAGGGGGGTGACGCTGAGCGGCCTGAGGTGACCAGCGGAGACGAGACAGACCTTGGGAAAGTTGTGGCAGAAGTGGAAATTTGACCTGGAAGGAAAAGTTATTTTAAGATCAAGATAATATAAAAAGTTAATTTTGAGGAAATTTTGTCGATAAGAGAAAACCTCTGATTCACAAAGTGAATATATTCTTGTGTATGTTTGTGCGTTTACACATACTCCAAGCATGCGTGCGTATGTATGTGCAGTACTGGTGAAGTTAGATGTAAGCGTGCAGAGCTGCTGACAGCATATGTACAAACACACATGACTTGTCTTAAAACAGGTATTTTTTCTGCTCTTTTACTAGAGCAGTATTTTTCACCTAAAATTGGGGTTTTCTCTGAAAAATGTATTTTTTCAGTTGTGTTTAAATAGTGATGGAAATTTCAATTTCTTTTCTCATAGGCACTTACTAATAGGACAATTTTATTTTTTTCCCCCCCTCACAGTCTTGAACTTCGAGAATTAGAAAAAAAGCTGAAATCTGCTTACGTGAATAAGGAGAGAGCTGCACAGATCGCTGAAAAAGCAGCTCTACAGTATGAGGAAATGGTAATTAGCTTCACGGTGCTGTAACCCTTTGTATGGATTCGTATGGGTATAGTTTTTATTTTACTGGTTTTATAGTATTTATCCAAGTTAAATCCATGATACGTTTTGTACAGCGAGGGCTCGTTGTGGTGAATCCTTACCTCAGAAGCAGATTGTTAAAAATGTTGTCACTATTATTAAAGATATATTTGAATAGTTTCAGAGAGAATTGTGAACTTTTATGTATAGAACAATATTGGTGATGGAGATGATTCTGATTGCGTTAACGTTTTATACAAACTTTAGTTTGCACAAGTTGCTGTAGAAGCATACTGAGGGTTCTCTTCAAGGGTTCTGCTTATCGAGTGAAGCCATTGAGGGGCTGTATTTATAGACTGGGGTAGGAAACATTCCTTTTCTGTAACACAGCATAGTAGAATTCCTTTTTAGACTCTGTATTTTTTCATTACAACTTGTATTAGTGGGAGTAAAAAGGGATCTTGCGTTGCTTTTCCCCTGTAGAAATGTGAGCGTGAAAGAGCCCAAAAGATGAAAGAGGAGTATGAGAGGGTAATAAAAGAAGAAAGTTCTGCAGAACTGAGGCGAAACGAGGAGAAAATAATGTATCAGCAAGAACTGGAGAAACAACTTGAGGAACAAGAGAAGAAGAAGCAGGATGCTTATAAAGAGTTTCTAAGAGAGAAACTCATGATTGATGAGATTGTAAGAAAGATCTATGAGGAAGACCAAATGTTAGTTACTTTGAATTTTTATTATTTATTAATTTAAAACAACTCATGTAGTTGTATGGAAAACTAATTTGTATACATTTATTTCATAGACTAAGGTCCATTTTAGTTTTCCTGGATCACACTTTACCAAGGAGACCGACTTGCACGGGTTTTGCTGTTCAAACATCAGAGTGTTCATGTCGTTCCAGTCGGTCTCATGTCCTTGTTTCCCAGATATGGTCTGGCTCGTCTCAAGGAGATGATGCTTCCACGGCGCCCACGGGGTTGGAAATGGCTGCATAGCACCAAATCCTGCCCCGCCTCCAGTCCCGACCTCTTCGTGAGGTGCTGCAGGCCTGTCCGGACAGGGACAGGAACGGAGATTTCTGAGGGCCGGGTGGTAGCGGAGTGGTAGGGAAGAGTTGAGTATAAATAAATAGTTTAGGAGATTCTGGTGCTATGAGGCTTTTGGGCTTCCTCTTTCCGTTTTGATGGAGCGTGTATAAACCAGAGTAGTAGTGAGGACCTATGGATACAGTCTGCCCCCCTGAAGAAAAGTGTTAGACATGACATTCCCCTTTTGGAACAATTCCTTAGTAAGTATTTTCAGTGTAGGTATCTAGTTTCCAGCTGAATGGGTAAGGAGTCATTTAAATCTTAGTCTCTGGAATATACTGTCAGTGATGAGTACACGGTCTGTTTAGTGTTATTCTGCAGTATGTTAAATAACTATGGGTTTTTTCTATCTTCTACAGGGAAAAACAACTGAAGTTAGATAAAATGAGAGCAACTCAGATGTATATTGAAGAATTTAAAAAAGAACAAGCTATCTGGAGGAGAAGGAAACTGGAAGAGATGGAAGAAGAAAATAGGAAAATTACGGAGTTTGCCAACATTCAGCGACAAAGAGAAGAAGATCGGATGGCTAAAGTTCGAGAGACTGAGGAGAAAAAACAAAGACTTCAAAGCATGGTATCAAAAAACTGAACCTGTAGAAAAAAATATTGTACATTTTTTGTCTTTCGTTTAGAAATCTTTCCTTCTTGTAATAGATGGCCCAGAATCTGCAACGAGAACAACAGAAGCGTGAGGAACTGGAACGACTCCGCCAAGAGCTGTATCTGGAGGAACAAGCGGAGACAGAACGGCAGAAGGAGCTGGTAAGGGCTGGCAGGAGGTGCCGCAGTACCTGCCTGTTGCAGGGTGGAACAGTTCACGTCCCTGGACTCCTGCTCACACGTTTATGGATATCTTGGTACTTGTCAGATACCAGGTTTGTTACATGTCCTATGGACGTTGCGTGTACCTGGCCATAAACTGTTAAGGGCATGTGCAAGTGGAGAGAGTGTTCTAACCTTGCCGTAATTCCTGCAGGAACGTTCAGGTTGGTGGAGCTGGTCTAGAAGAAACTTTTTAAAAATAAAAATAGTAGCATATATGCAGGAAAACCTAATTCATGGAGCAGTTTTAGCTGTGGGTAGATTAATCTAGTTTAAACAGACCAGGTGTGAAAATTTAAAGAGAAAATGAAACCATTTTGAATTGCTGATCTAGAAAACAGGTAATAAAGTGACTGCAGGAGTCAGTATTTTATAGAGTCTTCCTCTGATGCCTTTGTGATGGAGCAGCACTCCTCCTGTCTCTGCACCTTGTCACTGGAGTTGTGATGCTTAAAGGACATCTAGTGAGAGTGGAGAGTGTGCCCCACGCAGTTCCTCCTGCTCTGAGGATGCTCTTCGGAGGCCACGTAACTCCCCTTTCCACAGCTTTTCCTCTAACAAGCTGGCAGGATTGTTCACGGACTGCCCTGGGTTGGGTTTTTCCCCCCCTTTGGATTTGCCAGGTCTGCAGTGTTATCTGTGGCTTTGGGATGTTTCTGAGGGGCTCCTTGAGCCCATTTTGGGCTCCCAAAGCAAAAAGCTTAATTCCGACATGGGTTTAGGTGTATTAAATGAACTTGTTTCAATTCTGTTCTGGCACAAAGCGTCCGTTTTCAACACTAATTCTTAAATGGTTCGGTTTTGGAGGGAAAATTTTGTCCTTTGAGTTTCCTTTGCTGTTCCTCATGCATTTATGTTTTAATTTCAACCAGGAAGACAAGTGAAGGTTTTGAATACCCTTATGATCTCCCTTATACATTTATTTATCTTGTGAAGGAGAATGCTGGTGACTTTCAAGCTCAGGTTTAAGCTAAGTAGGTTAATCAACTGCTTGCTTTTTGCATATCAGTTTGCTTTTTCCTATGGGCCCACCCACACACAGTCTTACCTTGCTCGGGGTGACAACCAAAATGTAACTCAGGCTGAGATACCCAACGCTGTTATTTTTAGAGAGTGGTTCAGGCCGCTGTCTCGGTTCACTTCGTGCTACTGGAAAAAAATAATCTTTTGTTTTGGACTTAGTTTTGAGACTCGGGAGACGTTTGTCACAGTGGTTAACACTGGAGAGCACTGTCAAATATGGAGTGTGCTGCAGTTATTTACGTTAGAAGGTAGCAAGCTATAATACATTTATTCTAAGATAAATCAAGTAGATGGCTGCTGCTGATCAAAACTTTCCAAAGTATGTTCAATAGAATTGAATTTCCTTTAAATTTCAATTAAATTTCCTTTTTAAATTTCAATTAAATTTCCTTTATAGGCAGAAATTGAAAAGAGAATAAGGCAACGCCTAGACTTAAGGCGAACATACGAAGAGCAATTTGCTTTCAAGCAGACAGTGCAGCAAGCTGTGCGAGGAGAGGAAGAAGCCTTCAGGCAGCAGCTGTTGGCCAAGTTCGCAGAGGATGATCGCGTCGAACAGATGAATGCTCAGAAACGAAGAATGAAACAGCTCGAACACAGAAGGGCTGTGGAAAAATTTCTTGAAGACCGTCGCAAGCAGTTTATTGCAGATAAAGTAAGAGTTTTCGTGCTCACCTTTGGTTTGAGGCAGAGTGTTCCAATATGAGAACACTTCTGCTGTCCTACGTGACAAGGCTGCTAGGGAGAGGTGAGGGGGAATTGCAGAGAAATGTGCAGGGCAGAAGCAGGCCTTGGTCTTGGTGTGCTGACAAGAAAAAAGTCTTTTAGAGCCGAGTTTGTAGCTCAAGAGGTTAGTCAGCACCCCTCGGCCCCGGTATGCCTGACATGCTCTGCAAGTACCTCCTCAGGGACTGAGGTATTCACAGTTGGACTTGATGATCTTTTCCAACCTGAAGTGGTCTGTGGCCCAGGAGCCGTGGGAGCAGCAGCACTGGTCATGATGTGGGAGAAGGGGAAGGCCCAGCCTGGAAACAAGTCATGGGCTCCTATCCTGCAGGGTTTGGACCTGTTTCTGGGGAATGCCTCACGTGTGTCGTGAAATGGAAGTCACCAGCATGAGAACACAGGCCTGTTTCTCCCTTTCCTGGATCAGAACAGTAGGAACAGACTAACTTGTCTGACAGCCAAGGAGGAACCACAATTTATCACTTAACTACCTTAGAAAGGGCTTCTACTATGAGACCAAACACGTAGCGGACAAGCCCCATGTCTTGGTCTTGCCATTCGGTCTTTTCCTTTGAGATTATTTTTTTCTAGTTACCAAACATGTATTGTTTAAACGCTGCTTTGTGGCTTTTTACATACACTTTCCCATTTTCAAATGAATTTCCTGTGATGAGGAGTTGATTGGTGGAAGTTTAAAATTTACTCCACTAAAAAAATTTTCTCTTTATACTATGATGGAAACAAATGTTCACAGAGCTGAACCTGAACAGCTATGAAAACTTGCTTATTGTAGGAGCATGAACTCGAAGAAAGAAAGTTAGATGAGAGAAGACAAGAAAACATCCGTGCAATTGTTGAAGAAGAGAGACAGAAACTCTTGAAGGAGCATGCGTCAAAATTATTGGGTTATCTTCCTCGCGTAAGTGAATTGTATTGTAAATGCTTTCAGTGTTCGTCTTGGAAATCAGTTTTCTCTGGGATAGTTTGAGGTGAAGTTGCAGAACTGTGTAAATTCCTGGAGTCAGTGAGTGTCCTTGTATCAGCTCGCTGATGCCCACATTTCCCTTTTTTTTTCTCTTTGAGTTGGGAAGCAATTTACAGAAATACTCTTCCTGCACGAGGGGCTTTGGGCTCTGCCGCAACAGCGGTGCCTTGTGCGGAACCTGCCGAAAGCTTCCCCAGTGTTTTGCACACCCCGTTTTTAGAACGTGGAAATAAGTTCTAAAGCAGGGCTTTTCTAACCAGAAAGGGGTCCACTGGATCTAAACCCGGTTTCCACGGAACTTCTCAGTTGGGGTTCTGGGAGCAGTGTCTTAGTGTCGGCCTTCGGTCCTCTGTTACCGTGGAAACGAGGCCTCTGGCAGCGCCAGGAACTGCGGCACTCCCGGGAGCCTTCCAAAGCTCACTGCTCATCCTTGGGCTTTTAAAAGTTAAAAAGATGGAAGCAATTATTGTAATAGGAATAGGCTACAACTTATTTTGTATTATACTTCATAATCAGAAAGATCAGCTGATGGTACACGAATGAAGAGAGAACTGCTTAGGGATGTAAAAATGCATTTACAGCAGGGAAGGAATTATTCAACTACTTATTTTCTGCAGTACTGGAAAACATTGTGAATACAGCGGAGTGTAATTTTTATTCAAATATTAATATGCTAATTTGGTGCATGCATTTGTAAAATGTTGAGTTCTTTTCGAATTTAGGTTTAATTAAGCGATAACTCAAATTAGCAATGTTTTGATATAGTTTTCTGGTTTGAATTTCCTGTTGTAGGAAGTCTTGGTTATTTCCGAGTACCCGAGGCTGGTACCTGTTCATACTGATACTTGGTTCTTTTCTCTGCTTCAACCCTGTGTCTGAATCCTGTGGTCAGACGTCACGCTGCTTCACTCAAAATGGTTAAATACAAAAGTGCCACCTAATTGTAAAATCTCCAACACAAACGCAATTTGGTTTGTTTTTTTTTCCCCTAAATGTTGCAAGAAATGCTCTGTGAATCGTTCCCATTTTTAGCCATAAAATCAATTTAGAATTAGAAATTTAGATTTCTGGTTTCCCCTGCTTCTCTTCCCCAAAGCATAGTTTCTGATTAAGTTGTTCCGTATCAGTTAATTTTCAAAATGATTTCTTTGTGTTCATCGACACAACTAAAGGTGGCGATAGATCCCCACCCCAGGCAGTGCCTCTTTTCCATGCGATTGCGGGATTTCCCTGACCCTGCACCCGAGCCGTGCTGGCTACAGCCCCTTCCTGGAGAGAGCAGACGAGGGCTGCGTCCCGCCCGGGCTCGCGGTGCGGTTTGGGTGAAGCACAGAGGCGGTTCCAGGCTGGCACCCAGCACCCCGACGGCGTGTGACAGTTCCCAGGGCAGCCCCAGCACAGATCCAAGCTGTTACTCGCTTCAGAGAAAACCGCAGCCAGCCCTCACAACCTCTCTGCCTTGTTTTGCCCTCTGACACGTGTGTCTTTCCCCCTATTGCAGGGAATACTCAAAGACGAAGATGATGTTAATATGCTTGGACAGGAATTTAGACTGGCTTATCAGAAGAGAAGAGGTAATGAATTTTCAGAGAGCTGAAATTTCCCCCATTTCATCTCCTGGTTTGCCACTAGGTGTCACCTGATTTCTGATGAAAATTCCCTGTTAACAGCGAGGAACTCCCCTTTAATGCCATAAAGTCTCCATTTTAAGACTGCAGCTCCAAGCTGATGAGCAGTTGGGTTTGTTTGTTATGTTTTAATTGCAGTTTTCATCAGTAAACTGTACGGACCTCTGTTATTCTCAGTGATGCAGCAACATTAAAAATGTCTTCTCCAGCAGCTCTCCTGGTGTGAATTCACACGTGTATTTCAGTATAAAATTCTCTTAAAGGTCTATTTCTGCTGTAATTTCAAGATTTACCTGTACTGGCATCACACTATTAAAATATTAATCCAAGTGTAGTCTGTCTCAAAGGGGTAGGTCTGAGTTACTTGTTTCACTGTTAGTTCAGGTTACGTTGCTGGTAGGATCTAGGCAGAGATGCTTCTCCATTTTGGGATCACAATCACCATTTATACTTTTCTTTCAGTGCATAAACTTAGGATTTATGTGCCATGCTCCTATTCATTTAATCTGGGGGAAGAGTCCATTGAAATAGCTGAGGTTTGACAGAGGTTCATGCAAGCAGCTCAGGCTTTTATTGCTCCTGTCCATTAATGTACAAATGATATGTTCAGCTTGTCTACACTCAAACTTCCCTCCACTTCTTGACTATAATGATGACGTGACGAAATCTTTAGAGAGGTAATGCTTGTGGAGCACCTCTATGAGTATGGAGCCATCACTCCTGACTGTATCCCAAAGCAGCAGCTGATGGCCAGGGAAAGATTTAATACTTTGACCTTGACTAAAGTAGCATTTTTAGACAGTACAGGTGTATCAGATTATGGAGTCTGGACAGGGAGGGGCAGGTCCCAGCTGTGTTCTCGCCAGCCGTTAGTCTCTAGGGGACACTAAACCCTGGCTTCTTGGGGCTGAACATTGCTTTAGGTGTAGTGTTCAACGCTGAAACAGAGCAGACTGGTAACTTGTTGGAGTATTCCTTGCACAGTCGCTGCTTCTCTGCTCATTACTGAAACTTCAGTAGAAATTTGTATTTCATACAATATTACAACACAAGCTCTCAGGCTTATAAAAGTTAAACAATTTAAACATAAGCAAAATCAACAAAATCACTTCACTTGGCCTATCGAGTTATTAACTATTAAAAAGCGTTCATACACGGTGCCACAGTCATGGTCCGTCTGACTTGTATTTCAAACAGAAGCTGCTTTTTAATGGAATCAGTAATTTCCCCACTCAAGAGCTTTCATGAATTCCTCTTCAGTAAAAGAAAGCATCCTCGCAGCTTCAATGTGCATCTTTAAAAGAAAAAAAAAATAGGAGCAGAAGGTAAAAAGGGTGTGAATGACCAATACAAAATCCTGCCTGAAGGATTCAAATTTATCTTTTTTTTTTGTACTGTGGATTTGATGGATGTTCACCTGCTCAAGCTGCTATTCATATTTTTCTGCAAAAGTTTACACAGTGCAGGGATAACATGATAAATGTCATGCTAAACATGGCAAGTTTGGCTCTAGTAAAACAGGACAAATAGCTTTTCTTAGTTCCTTACATTGCTTTCAAAATATCTCCCTTGTAATGAGGCACGGAAATTACTGAAACCCTGACAGCTCTCGTCACCTCTCAAGAGCATGTGTCACGTAGACATTCTTTCAAGCTGATCAATATACAGCTTAACCTTAAGCTGTTACAAATCAAATATATCACTAAGGTTCCGTGTGCTAGCACTTCTGATATGCCCCATTGAATATTACATGCGGATTTGAACAAAACTATATAACACCATAAAAAATTAACAATCAGCATAAACCAGAGTGGCTGTACTCGCCGTAAGGAGGAGTTCCTGGAGCTGAGCAGCAGCAGCTGTGGTGCCAGGTTCCACACCCCACATCTGCGGTCCCTTACGGCACACGCGTGCACGCAGCCACGCCCCGTGTGTACATACGTGTGTGTTGAAATGTGTATTTGCACTACACAGGATATAGCGCGTTATTTTAAATGGAACAGAACTTTTTCACTTAAACCAAGGCTGTTTTCTGTTGAAATAATAAATCACTGTTTGATGAGAGAAACAGTACTGAGCGGGCTGTGTACTGGCAGAGAGCTGCCCCTCACGCGGGGGCAGCAGGTGGGGGGCCCCGAAAGCTCCCGGGTTCCAGCTGATGTCACAGCTGTGCCAGTGTCCTCATCACCACCCCACAGCATCCTCTCTTCACCTATTGTCACTCAAAGTGGGAAGGAAAGGGTCCCAGCTGAACAGGTTTTACTGCAAATTTTAATCAAATAGTTACGTTTTGAAGAACAAGAAAAAATTCATGTCTACAAGGAGTTGAGGGGTTTTTTATGTATAGATATATTGTCAGTTCAAAATGACAACAAAGTGTATTGTGGTTCTCACAGCAGTGTAACACCCACCAGCTCTGTAAAGCTCAGACTAACTTCCCTTAATCCCTTCTAAAACGAAGATTTTCTATTACTTCTTCCCTCGAGACAAGCAGAGAATGGTCTGAAGAGACCAGCTGGAACACCACCAACTACTTGCTGCCAGCTGCAACTCATCCTACTACTGATACTTAATATTGGGGGGGATTTTTTTATCCCCTGTCATTGTTCATGTGGTAGCATATCCTGACCTTCGGGATAGCCCTGCTGCCCTGCGCGTCTGGCTCTGCGGCACAAATACCACTCAAACAGCCCGAATCAGGTTTTCCTCGTGCATTCCACAAAAGGCTCAGGTGAAGCAGACCTGAAGTTCTTCATTCAGGTGATTGCATATATTGAGTGCACATGAGCTTTAGCTGCCCTTCCCCTGCGCCTTCTGCCAGAAGCTTATAAAAGACAGAAGTAGGGCCCATTCTCTTTTAGGCTCTTCCAATCATAGTCTGTTCTGACAGAAAAACTGACAGCATCTTTCTTCTATTACACCATTTTTTGTAAGAAAAGGTAAGTGGCTTCCTCTATTATCTGCAGTTCTGATACACTAGTCATAATTTTTAAAAAATATGTTTAATGAAGATTTGTGTTTTTTATCTGAGACTACAGTTTTGGTTCATACTCAGACAGAAATACTGCTCTTTGACACACGTTTTGGTGAATCCACGTTCTGGAGAACAATGAGCTGCCTCATGTAGAGGATATTTTGAGTGAATGCTGTATTTGTTCATTCTGAAAATAACCTTGAAGAGGTGGAAGGGCCAGGCAGAGGCGAAGCTAGCACTGTTTCTGTTAGAGGAATCCCCAGCATCTCCTCTGTATCCTGTTACTGCAGGAAATTCTCTTCCCCTGCAAATGCAGGAGCAGCCCCCATTCCTCTTATTCCAAGTACCTGTCCTCCTCTGGCCTGTGTTGGAGAGCTGTTCCAAATTCAAGGGTGCATTTCCATATTGCAATTCCCAGTTCTTAGGAGAAGTATGTGTATTTTGTTCCATGAAGCTGCCACTTAATATAGAAGTATTCTTCCTCTGTGAGGGCTCAACAGCTTCAAGAGTGTTTACAAAACGTTTGGTAATTACTGCAGTGCTCAAAGGGTAAATAAAATGTCCTGGCTTCTTATCACCAGGGCTGGCCCTTCTAAGGTGCTTCTGCTCAATAATACATTGCTTGCTTTAGCTCTCTGGAGCTTTGGGTTGGGAGTGCAAAACAAAGCACGTTCCCTCCACCCTGAAAGGAGTCCCCTTAGATTGAGCAGAGGAAGCAAGGGGAGGTGAACCCCTCTGTGATGGTAAGGTCCTGTCTGACCGTTGTGAAGCCCGTAGCCCTGCCTGTGTCTCGGGCAGCCTCAGAAGGAAAACTGCCCCAAGTATTCCCTAAGTGAAAGGTGCGATACAACTAGTGAGACCTAAATGCATCAGTAAGTGGAAAACTGATTTGGGCAACACCCCTTAGTATACACTCCTCTCACTTTCATTTCCTTTCATGTAAACTCGGGTTCTTTCAGTTTGCACCATCAAAGCTCATTCGACAGGTCTATGCTGAAAATATATTTTGAGAAATATAAGGTATTTACCCACTCTGCAGCGTCTGCAGTTTCTCTTTCCAAGTAAGACACCCCTCCTTTTTGGGACATGAGTATAGCTTTATCAAATACCATAGTTAGACTCTAGCTGAAAGTGTATTTATCTGAAGCACTTTTCACTAGACCACCTTTCTATGGAAGCTGTGTTGCTAAGTGTTCAGCATGAATTGTCAGCAAGTATTCCACTACCTCTCCTCTCCTCAAGTGCAGCTGCTGGAGAAATTGAGAGGCAGTCGCCCCTGCCCTCCCTTTTATGCTCTGAGGGAGACACAAAATGATTGTAGAACCAAAGGACGAGCTGTGTGCCAGTGGGGATGGGAACACCCATGCAGATGTTACTCCATTGTGTGTGATTCCAAGTATGCATGATATTCCAGCGATTACTGAAGGATGGAGATGGCCTCCCCTACTTCAGTCTAGTAAATTCACACCTAGGCTAAGTACCCTCTCTTCTTCTTTTATTTTCTTTTTTTTTGTCTGATCCACAAGGAGATCTGCACCTGGACAGAACTGTACCTGTACAGAACACCTCAGAATATAACTAAGCAACTTCTTGAACAAACAGATACTGTTGGTCCTAAAGCTTGTCAGTAGTAATCTCACCACGACAGGGTATGTTCCAAGTCATCAGTCAACTCAAAAGCAGAGCAGCCTTTGCTATAAAGCAAAACCTGAGCAATATGCACTAATAAAAGTGAGGCTGCGGCTGCTCCCTTGCATTAAAACTTCCCAGTCTTGGGGCTCTAGTTGACATGATTATCTAACTTGGCACATTTAGCTAGAGGTTGTTAACTGAAAAATATCAGTACTCTGGTCCTTACCTTCTGTCTCTTTAAAATATCAATTAACTTCAACTGCTTTTTAAAGCCTGTCATTAGTTCTCCTTTTTGTTTCTGCAGTTTCTTGTTTTCTGTTTTTAATTCTTCAATTGTTTTGAGTTCTTGTTTAGCTACATCCTGCCATGGGAAGGAAAGGAGAAATGTATTAGTTATGAAAGTGGTGCTTTAACTGATGAAACCTTCATTACATAACAACAAACGACAGCCACACATGACATTTCTGAAAAGAAATAGGATTAATCAAAATATTCCCACATCAAAACTTCAAATCAAATCAAACATCAAATTTCAAAGATAACATACGCATGGTCTGTCTGTGTATATATGAGGTGTGTATATGTACTTCTCCCTTTTTCTAAGCACATGTAACTTCCACACAAATGGAGAAAATCAGAAAGGCTATCACACTGCATGGGTTGCAGTCATGTTGTCCAAGCTAACTTCTCAAGCCGTCTGGTGACTCGCTCTAAGGTAATTCTGGGGCTATCCATAAAGAGGCACGATGCTTCCAAAGCTGGATCAAGGCTGTTGTCTCCCTCTAGCATCACTGAGTCATTCCAGATTGGAACCAGTTTTCCTAAGCCACAGTACCTTGTTGCTTTGCTTCAGTCTGTTCAGCTCCACTTTACACCTTTCTGCTTCTTCCAGGGCCCTGTTTAAGCGAACCTTTACTGCACTCTGACTGGTTGCAGCCTGGTTTTGTACACGCTTTAGATTCTCCAATTCCTATTTAAGAAGCAAAGGATAAAAACAAACATTATGAATAATAATATTTTAATGATTCCCATATAGACAACATGGTTACAGCAAGGCTGACCCTTGAAAACTGAAGTCAGCAGACTTCTTTTGGCCTGCAGCTAGAAGCTGTCTCAAAGATTGTTAATTCCACTGTTAAAACATCCCCTTCTCCTTTGAAATCTTGAAAAGGGATCTTTCTCATATTTGTTTTCTCAGTATAATTGTGGAGCTGATCACATAAGACCACAGGATTGACTTAAAAACCTTGTGTGCTCAGTGAGAAAAAGAGAAAAAAAAAGTGGGCATGTCCACTCTGTGGCAGATTTTGGAGCGGTGTCTGGTATTCCCAGCTGCCTCTTCCCACCTCTTCCTTTCACCTCTTTTCCCCAGAGATTACTACATGCAATTACCACCAAAAAGTTAAAACGGCCTACTGAAGGTGGCTCAGGGTAGGAACTATTTCATCTAGCAGAAAATAGTTCCTCAAGTGATTATGGCAACAATCTGTTTCCTCTTGTCTCTGATGATGGTGTATCAGTGCTGTGAGGAAATCAGAAAAGGAGACCAAACTGAGGAACAGAATAGTGAGATTAAAGATCATGGAATATATATAAGGGACAAAGTAGAAGAAATAAACAATTCTGGCAGAAAGAGCACATCTTGTCATTTATGAAAAAGAAATAAGACTTTTTTTTTTTAAAGACTATCAAATTTTTAGTAATGGGCACAGAAAGATTCTGTTACCCAAATGTGGGGAGAGAGGGGGAATTGTTATTAACCTTTTACCCTGAGACTGCCTTATTTCTGAGTAATTGTTTTGTTTTCTCAATTCCAAACCAGCTCTTGTGGCAGTTACTTATGATTTCCACATCACTTATCCAAGAAATACATACTGGCAAGTGCATGCAGCAAAGCCGTTATGGTAAAGTTATGACTGGAACAGGTTATTTCTAGAAAGCTTGAAATCTTCTCCAAAATGGATGAAAGAAACAGGAGAGTAAGATGCATCTCACTAATCCTCAAAAATTCTGTTGGTGAATGTGCCTCCTCCAAGAGTTAACAAAACCAGATGTTGCTTCAACATTTTTACTCTGTCACTAACCTGACAGATTAAAAAAAGCTGGGTAAAAGCCTGGCTAGTAGGGCAGCAGAGCCCCTCCCTGCAACACCGCACGTCCACTGTCAGGGAATGCAAATTCATTTGCTGGAAAACGACCCCCATGTTTCCAAAGACAACAAGCTGCACAGCATGCAAAACTCTTTGTCTTGTATCAAGATGATGGAGCTGTGAATAGTCAGCTAAATCTCTTGTGCCAGGTATTTCTTCTGCATTAGGATGAAAAGCTTTGGAATATCGCCTTTCAAGCATTTAATGACCAAACCCATAATCTGCATACAACGAAAATTACATATCAGCTAATCACATCATCTAAAGACAGAATTCTAATAATTGCTTTAGGGCTTGTTGACATTTACATACATAATACCTTATCAAGGACTTTTTTGCAAGTCATCCACTGAAGGTATATTGTTAAATATATTCAACTCCAAGTGTTTAATCTTAAAAATGCCTGAAATAAGTATTTTATTTTGTAAGTAGGCAATGTTTCTGCCAATTCTTCAATACTTTCAAATAAAAGCTGGATTAATATTGTCACACAATGTTTCTCTGAGAGCAGGGGAAAAAACTACTGTATTCTAAAACTGCATCCCGTTTCAGTCTTGGGGTTTTCTCCACTGTTCTGGCATGGCTGAGGCACTTGAATATCAGTAAGGGCTGTGATACCAGAGAGCTCGTCCGTGAGAAACCCTCCCACCCAGGAGGCTTTCTTTCCTCCCAGTAGCAAGCATACACAGTACTTCTATCTTTAGAAAGCTCGGCGGCACTTGTCCACCCCCAAAAACATTGAGAGATAACGTTTGCCTAACATCAAGCCCTTCTTCAAGGCAAATTATAAAATCCCTGTACGAAGCCTTAAAAGGAATGAGCACAATTTTGGTGTTTCGCTGACCTTTCTCTAACGTTACAGGTAAATTGAATTAACAAATGAGAGAACACAGAGGAAGGAATGTTCCTGTAGACAGGTGGTGAAAAAAGACAGGAGAGGTAGTATCAGTTAT